CTTGATAAAAATAATTATACTATTCATTATAACGATTTTAGTCCGTCAGTACGATTTTGTTATTCGCGATCTGGAATTCAAATTATATTTTTGAGAGATCCTAAATGGGAGTCCGTACATATGGGTATACCATAGACAACCGTACTCAGAAAACATGATATTCTACTATCAATAAACATAGAATACGTTTTGAGACGATTTAACACTTTCCAATAATTGTTGAAAATATGATTTGTCACTGACAGCTTATACATGTAAAGACAAAAATATATATTGAGGAAACGTGAGAATTAAGAATAACAGCATACAAAAGATACAGTCACTTTATTTGAAGAAGATAATATTATCAAAGTAAAATGACATTTATCATTATTTAATTCAGGATCAATTTGTAGAGATAATAATTTACATCTCGATGTTAGACATTACTTCTGCTTTCTAAAGAAAACATACACAAATGGTGGCATAACATATGAACGAGGAGGAACAAACGAACTTACGTGTATGAAAAATGCTGCTCTCAGCTCTTCGAGGAATCCGGACTGCAAATTACCATCCCCGCCGGTGAATACTGTGTGCTATGATTGTTGTAGAGAAAATTGCCCCGAAAGTCGGTTTTGCAACGAAAAGAATGTTATAAATTCTAACTACATGCCATCATACATGCAGACAGGTATTAATCATGTACTTATGTATTATTATCAAATTTTGGAAGTAAAGATTTTAACCGATTATTTTTGTAGTGCAATCAGTAGCCTTTGAAAAAGAAACCGAGGTGTAATATGTTGATAGTCTGCTCAGTAATAACATAATAAAATGATGTAGAAAATTCCGACAAAAGATATGTACTTTTGTTTTAACAACTGACTGAATTGCCCTATTTTAACAGTTGTGTTTTGGTCGAATAGCTCTTCAACTGTTTCGGTTCTTATACATCCTTGGCATTGAGCGTTCCTGGTGAAGGTAAATTAAGAAAAGTGCTTCGGACGCATGAATTTTATAACGTGTTGTTTTCATTTTTTACAGCACTAGGTCGATACTTCTCCTGGTGGACTATCAGTCCCCGAGGGTATCATCAGCTCAGCAGTCAGTACTTCGGTACTGACATGATTTAAAACAAACATTTTCTAAAATTGTCCGTTTATAAATTTTAAAATTATTTAGAAACTAAGGTTTCAACTCCCTCAGGCAAAGTTGACCTTGGATTGATTTGGCTATTTTTTAGCTCATTTTTGGTCGTATAGCTCTTCAACTGTTTCGGTTCTTATACATCCTTGGCTTTCAAATATTTGGCATTGAGCGTTTCTGATAAAGGTAAATTCGGAAAAGTGCTTCGGACGCATGAAATTTATAACGTGTTGTTTTCATTTTTTTTGTCTTTTCTATCAGGTAAAGTGAAACATTATTGTAATCGAAATTTCGTAAATATAAATGCGCCAGGAATGATGTAATCAACATTTATGTTCGATTAAGAAGACCCATAAAGAATACAAGAGACAAAGAAAAGGTAAAAGGGTATCCGTGAAATAGTCTAACTGAAGACACAACTTTTACAATTAAGAATAACAACTTAAATGAACAATGTTTGATCTTGTCCTATAAGAGTAGAACACATACAATGAAGAAATATTGTTTCACACTCGACATCACATTCTCATTTTTATGACCATGGTTTTTCAATCGATTTTTATAGTTTGTTCTTATGTTGTACTGTTACACCACTGTCCCAGGTTAGGGGAGGGTTGGGCGCCCACTAACATGTTTAACCCCGCCACATTCTATATGTGCCTGTCCCAAGTCAGGAGCCTGTAATTGAGTGGTTGTTTGTTGCTGTTTATCTTATTAGTTGTTTGTTTATTGTTTTCTACAGTTATTGTATTGTTCTGTTGCACCACTGTCCCAGGATTAGGGGGAGGGTTGGTCGCCCGCTAACATGTTTAACCCGCCAAATTCTGTATGTGCCTATCACAAGTCAGGAGCGTGCAATTCAGTGGTTTTCAGTTGTTTCATTGTATCATATTTGTTTTCGTTTATTATTTTGTACATACATTAAGCCGTTAGTTTTCTCGTTTGAACTGTTTTACATTTGTCATTTAGGGGCCTTTTATAGCTGACTATGCGGTATGGGTTTTGCTCGTTGTTGAAAGCCGTACGGTGACCTATAGTTGTTAGTTTCTGTGTCATTTGGTCTCTTGTGGAAAGTTGGTCTCGTTGGCAATTATACCACATCTTTTTATTTTTATATGATGTTTTTTTTATAGAGGTCGCAATATAAGATATGATCCATTCAAGTTTAATATTTCTTTAATTAATTAATATTTAAATGTTATCAATTTCATTATAGTTAGAATATGGACAAAATCGGCAATAACATTGATTTTATTTTTCAATATTTTAAAACATATCCAACACAGTTGGTAACCAGTTATCAGCAGGTTCTTAATTCTGTCAATATCCATATTTTGGCATTGCACTAGATCAGGTTTTTTCATACTGCGTATTATGTCTTAAAGCTTAATTCGTTTGAGGTGAACTGATTGGTATGGTGAAACATTATCTATTTGTTATTTGAATTGGACTTTTAACTAGCTTTCAGTAACTGCGAATACTCTTTGATCGGTAATTTGGGTCTACAGTCGTTTTGTTAGTGTGTGTTTGTGCTTATCATCTGATTATTACATGTTTGTTTAATGTTGTGTTGTTAAAAAGTAAAATCTAAAAAATATTGAACTCCGAGGAAAATTCAAAAAGGAAAGTCCCTAATCAAATGGCAAAATCAAAAGCTAAAACATATCAAACGAATGGATAACAACTGACATATTCCTGACTTGGTACAGGCATTTTCTTATGTAGAAAATGGTGCATTGAACCTGGTTTTATAGTTAAACCACTGCCAATATTTGGGAAGGATTAAATGCTAACAAACATACTTAATCTCGCTACGTTACATATGACTTTCGTTGTATGTCGATCGTTTATCGTAATTGGTTTGGTTTATTTCTATAGGCTTAAATCAGGCCGTTGGCTTTCCCTTTTGATGTCATTTGTACATTGCGCTACCCCGCGGGAGACTAATATAGTGTAAACGATACAGGAGTTTAATCATTTCCGTAAGGTGAGGTGCAGTTGTTGACATGTTCTCCTTTTGTCATCAGTGAATAGTTGTATCAAGAGCAATCATACTTCATTTCTTTATTTGTAAATGAATTCCGGAAATGAACCCTTATGTCGACATAAGTCTCAATGGAATAATTAAGTAGAGAATATGGTCATGTAATTGTATAGATACATAATTATATAAATACAGTATTCATTTGTGAAACATTTTTCTGATGTATATTACGATCACTTTTTATATTTAACTTTTGCCATCCTCTTTTTATAAATCGATTGAAAAGAACAAGGTCAAACTTTTCCTCATACATTCTTTATCACCTCCATGTATACAGAGCTTGTCAATTTATCCATTAGGAATTAGGATGACTTAACCATGTTAACGATTCCTTGTTGTAGACTTTCACCAACTAATTCATCCGTTTTCCTTCCACAATTTGAGAATAGAATAAATTGGACTTTTTTAATCGTTATATAGATTCACTACTTAAATTTATGAATTCTGTGCGTGCTAAATGTCATTCTGATTCAACATTATTTTAGCAAAACAAATGTTTGTATGTGCCTCAACAATTATATAACGTCACGATGCAATTAAGATGCGGCGTTTCCTTTATAAACCGCTATTTGTTAAAAGTAAATACTTTAGTATTTCCGCTCTGTGTTTGTGGAGCGCCTAGAGAAGATACTCACCATTTCAAGATACAACAACGTACGAACAGATTTGAAATGGTGAGTATCTTCTCTATGCGCTCCAAATATTCATTCGTCACCTCAAGATGCGATCACAAGAACTAAGAAGAAAAATTGTCTCATTTTACATTATTTTTCTTTAGATATCAAAAGGTATAAGCGATTTCTAATTTCTTGAATACTTAACTAAAATGGTTCCAGCATGCATCTTCACAAGTTTCACTATCCATTTGCCTTTACTTTTTCATCTCTTTCTCTTCCCATCACCGATAATATAGATTTTCTTACAATCAATCAACGGTTTACTTATACTCATGTTAGAACTTTTAATTTCTGTATTAGGTGCATGCTCAATTTATTGTAATTTTGTTGTCATATTTTATACAGGAGAAGACTGCATAATTTGGTAACACTTGTGTCTAATCCTGTTTGAATCATTGATTAAATATAAAAATTATAAACCTAAATCAGGCTTTTCAATATAAAATCATTTGTTCATACATTCGCTTATTTTTTGGAGTTAAAACTTTTATAAAAATGTACAGTTATCAAGTAATGATGCTCTGTGCAAAAATTCATAGGAAAGTCTTTTCTTAAATGAAGTATTTCTTAATTATATGCATTAAAAAAATATTGAAAGATAAAAGTACGTAAGTGTTTAATTTTTGAGATAAAAGTTTTTGAAAAAACTAAATTTTTAGCGGAAAAAATGTCTTTTGATTGTTTCATATGAAATATATAAAAAGACATTTATGTCAACATGTATGAAATAATAAGTGGCAACAATAAAAATCTGAAAACATTTCGTCAAAGGTGTATGTGAAAAGAACATTAAAAATATGTTGAATACTACAGGAGTAGCTATGCAAAAGTTCTTAATGCATTTTCTTAGAAAAACCAGAAGCGATAGAATATATATATATAAAAAAATTCGAAACAAGAGTTACAAGAGTTACACAAAACCAAAAATCGAATGAGAATTACTTATATAGATATATATTTTGCATTTGTTATATTAGCCAAGAAAAATGTGTAGTACGACTACGCTGGTCTTAGAGATTTGTAGATATTTTTTTTATGATAGATATTCGTCAGATAGACATATTTTAAGTGTTAAATGTCTTATTTTACTTAGCACTTAAGCCATGTATAAATTATATATAAATTTGAATATATTTGATAATAGGAACGGCACCAACAACTGAAACAACTTTACCATTTACCCTATCTACTTCAACTACAACAACTTTACCAATTACCTCATCTACTTCAACAACTACAGCAGCGGGTCAGCTATATTTATTTTATTTTATAATTTATTATTGATCAGTTTTCACTCCAACCAAAAATCATTCCTTTAAGTTAAAGAAATATGGCACATAATTCTAATTATAATAAATTAAAGATAACTACAAAGCGGTTGTGGTATTATAATGGGTAAATTATTTAATTAATTAATTGAAGTACACCGAGCGGCTGCTAACAGTTTTCATGCAACAACTTATGAAATGTTCAACCATATGAAATATACCTTTTTCATTGACCCGAGAATCCTTCATACCTTTAACTATACGACTGTGGAATAACCTTAATTCAAAAGCCCAAGTACCTAAACATTATGAATTTGGCAGTCGTACACTCAACATCATTTTGACCCAACTTAGATACTCAGCTTCTTTTTAAATTATGATCTTTACAGAGTCAATATAATTTCAGATCCGTCTTGTCGCTGTGGTGCTTAGCGTGAAGATTCATATCACTTCTTTTTTGAATGTCCTAATTATGCGAAATTAAGAATTAAACTATCTAATAAGCAGAACTGGTTACCAAAGAACTCCCCACTAAATTTGAACATCTTAACCTCCGGTGACTCGTCATTAACTAATGATGAAAATAAAAGAATTTTAAAGAATTCATATGAATTCATTTAAGAGTCAAAGAGTTTCTAATTGTATGAGATAGCACACTAAAGTGCATATACATGTATATTGTGTACAACCATTCACATCATCACACATTATCTTTTTACATATCGTTCAACCATTGCTTTTCAAATTTGAAATCTGTTATTACTTATGATAAAATTGAGGTGTAGTTCAATATTGACGATTTTTACTTCTACTGTTCAGGAGTTATTGTCCTTGATATATTGGAAAATGACACCACTTTATGTCGTTTCTGTGCAATTACTTATGAAGCGTTCCATCAATCCTTTTCAATTTTTAATATATAAAAGTGTTACTTTAATTTTAATTTTAATTTTAATTTTAAAATTATAAATTTCCCCCACCTTAGTAGCAATATACCAACTTCACCTGCATATGGGATATACATTTCCCAACTTATTCGATATTCAAGAGCTTGCAGCTCTTACTCAGACTTTGTAAAACGTCACCAGTGTCTGAGCAGAAAGTTGATGAACCAGGGGTATGTCAAAGAACGTCTCGTCCTTTTTCTAAAAAAGTTCATCGGAAGGTACCAAGACCTTGTTGATAAATATTCCGTATCAACTTCACAAACAATACATGATGGTCTTGAAGTATAGATTCTGCATACTGACGTTGTTTATCATCTTAACAACGTGTAATATTGTTCTTTCATTTGTCTTTGTTCTATTATTAATATTACTTTTACTGTTTGGTTTGTTTTCTGTGATATCCATTTGACGTGGCTAGGTACTTATACATCCCGTCAATGTGTTTGTATTATCTTTAATTTTTACTGGTGTGTTTTGTATATGCGACTTTTTGTGTTTCTGTGGTTCTTATAACGTGACTCTGTACTTTAAAAGATCCCGTCATTATGTTATTGTTCTATTATATGTCATTATGTTATTGTTCTATTATAAATTTGAAAATACTTTGAACGACAAACGACAAATTTATTTTACTCGCGTAGTGGTATTTACCATATGTGGATTCTTAAGGGTTCTGAAGAACTTCTGGACAATTATAAATCTCGGTCTATTTCTGAAATTAATTCTAACATAACTTTTGATTTTTTAACCCTGTATACCAACATTCCCCATGTGAAATTATAAAATTGTTTTGAATAGACATTGAATGACAAACTTTTTTCTTATGTGACGTTTACATTTTCTGACGTCAGACACGCGAAGCAATGAATGTGGGTCTTAATTTGATAGATGCTTTTGTGCTTTTTTTGTAAATAATTGTTTGTTTTGATATTGTAACACAGTGATGACTGCTGTACCCATATTTTGACTATTTTATTTATAATGTCTGTTTTGTTCACGCATCGTTGTAAATATAACGAAATTTGATAAGACTGTCGTACAAGTGAGAGGTTTAGCGCTATAAAACCAGGTTCAATCCACCATTTTCTACATTTGAAAATGCCTGTACCAAGTCAGGAATATGACAGTTGTTGTCCATTCGTTTGATGTGTTTTGTCATTTGATTTTGCCATGTGATTAGGGACTTTCCGATTGAATTTTCCTCGGAGTTCAGTATTTTTGTGATTTTACTTTTTACTAATGAAAAACTGGAGGACAAGTTTTATGTTGAAGATTTAAGCTTTTACGGTTCAGGAGTTATGGTCATTTTTAGATTGGAAAATGACACTGTACTTTGTTTCCGTGCAGGGGACACGGTAGTATTTCCTGGCCCATAAGGGATAATGATAGCCTTTTTAGAATTTTCACCACTTTCTAACACTGCCAAAAATTCTACATAAACAGTTAACTGAAGTACTTTCATTATATTATTCAGAAATGAATTTGAATATGTATCATGACCGTTTACTTTTTTTGATATCTTTAAAACCCAAAGGTCACTAGTGCTTTTAGGTCTTTTATCATGCAGTGAATACAAAATTAAAAAAAAATTCTCAAAAATTAATTTTCACCTGTATGTAAAATTATTTCAAATTTTTCTACACCTGATTCATCCCTCAGTTTGGGAAAGTATGTTCAGTTGATACTGTATTTTTTGTCCAATCACACTGTTCAGATACATTGATCTAAGTAGGGTACACAAAAGAGCAACATAAATTCTGGAATGCAAATACTACCGTGCTACCTTAACCAAGACATTACAAACTTGAAATCAGTCATGACACCTATGATGTATAGACTTCTTACTAGGAACCATATTACAATAAAGAATACTAGTCTTCACTTATTTCTTACCCAAAAAAAATTAAAAAGTATACCCCTACCCCAGCTGGCAGATTTTCACTATTTTTTCACCTGAAAATTTTTACTTAAGGAGTGATCAAAACCCAAATATATGTTGTTTCAAATCAACACAGAAGTAAACCATGGTGATTCAGGAGGAATTATTGGATTGCCAACTCTATTTATAGTTAATTTGACTGAAAGAAAGAGTTTAAGCACCAAATCATGAAAAATGATAGTAAAGTCCATTCCACATTTTACAGCATGCCTTACATTCCTTTAAGCATTTCAAGATTATGAAGGCAATATAACAAGACTCTTTAGATGGCAGATAACTATTATTCAAAGATCTTTTTGACAATACATGTACTAGAATATATCTCTAAGTTGACTGTTTGTCTATTTCTCATGTATGCATTAAGTTAAATTATGTCCCCTTTCATTATCAATTTAACTTTATTGTGCTTTTCAGGGTCAGAAAATCAAATAAATTAATGACATTTGCATGGAAAATGAATAAACTATTTAATCTTGCTGATATACAATCATAATCACATTCTTTGTCCAAATAAAATGTCTTGTCAATGTAAAGAAACCCCATTCGCTATCTTTATTTCAGCTAAATATGAGGGCTAAATGGATAAGTAAGGACCCTCTAACCACTTACAGGTTCCAGAAATGCTCATACTGGTGTCATGTTACCACAGAACTACAAATCAAACCTGAAGAAAACTAGTAAAGCTGTACTTGTGTGGAAAAAAATAAGAAATTATGCACTTTATTCATTTCGGTGAAAATAATAGGACGCACAGGCAACTAAAATATGTCGCGTCTCAAATTCCAGTTATTGCACATGTGTCAGACACTGCGAAAAGTTAAAGCGATTAAAAATGTATTGCAAGTTACATAAAAATAATGAAGTTCTACTTTTTAGATAAATTTTTACATTATTACCCACAGATCAGGCAAAATTTGCTGAATCAGCAATTTTCACTCCAAGGGGTGGGATTAAAGGTCTGTTTTTATTCTAGTTGCCCTTAATCAGCTTTTTATTGATAAACTTACAAATTGAATAGGTAAAAAAAAATACCTCCATTGATTTAGTGTAAACATATATATCCCAGTTGAGGGGGCACGGTAGTATTTCCTTGCCCATAAGGGATAATGATAGCCTTTTTAGAATTTTCACCACTTTCTAACACTGCCAAAAATTCTACATAAACAGTTAACTGAAGTACTTTCATTATATTATTCAGAAATGAATTTGAATATGTATCATGACCGTTTACTTTTTTTGATATTTTTAAAAACCTAAGGCCACTAGTGCTTTTAGGTCTTTTATCATGCAGTGAATACAAAATTAAAAAATATTCTCAAAAATTAATTTTCACCTGTATGTAAAATTATTTCATATTTTTCCCCACCTGATTCATCCCTCAGTTTGGGAAAGTATGTTCAGTTGATACTATATTTTTTGTCCAATCACACTGTTCAGATACATTGAGCTAAGTAGGGTACACAAAAGAGCAACCTAAATTCTGGAATGCAAATACTACCGTGCTACCTGCAATAACTTAGTATCCGTTCAACCAATCCTTTTCGAATTTTGATATATTATTAGTGTTTACAAATGAAGGTCAACTTTAATATTGGAGATTTTCACTTCTTCAGTTCAAGAGTTATGGTCCTTGACAGATTTTAAAATTTACTATATGTCGTTTCTGTGTAATAATCTATGAACCGTTCAATCAATCCTTTTCAAATTCTAATACGTTGCTTCTGATATCAAAATGAAGGTCAATTTCAAATTGATGATTTCCTTTTTGCCGCTCATGAATTATGGTCCTTGATAAATTAGGAAATAGGCACATAAGGTGACAGGTCAAACATGCATGAAAGCGCCCAGTTTGCTGTCAATTTGACAGCTAATTTCTTCATAAAATTTTCAGTTTTGATATTGGAATATAAAGTTATTATTTTATTATAACTTGCAACACTTTCTTTTATATTGTAAAATAACCCCTCCCGTTAAAATTATCTCACTGTCATTCTTTTATTTTATAGTAAATAGCACCACATGTTTAGTGTGTACAGAAGATCAAAGTAATTCTTGTTCCTCTATGGATTATTCTGTGTGCAGTGGTGAGAGACCTTATTGTCTCAATGAAATCATATATCGTAATGGTAAATGGACAAAAACTCTTCATAGGTAAATAATATAAAATTGAGAATGGAAATGGGGAATGTGTCAAAGAGACAATATTGAACAACCCGACCAAAGAGCAGAAAACAGCCGAAGGCCACCAATGGGTCTTCAACACAGCGAGAAAATCCCGCACCCGCACCGTAAAACTCATTTTAAAAGAAGTCCGAGTCCGATGTCAGAATAGGTAACAAAAGAAACTAAGCAAAATGACTATGATACATAAATTAACAAAGGACTACTAGCAGTTACTGACATGCCAGCTCCAGACCTCAATTAAACTGATTGAAAGAGTATGTCTTCATCATATGAAAATCAAGCACAATCCCTCCCATTAGGGGTTTAGTATCATACCATCATAAAATATATGATAAGAACATAACCCGTATTATGTCAACAACTGGTTTTAGAATAAATGTGTTTATTTCCGATGCAAAGACCCTATGAGTGAATCAATATTAATACCAAAATATGCCATCTTTAATGACCCGACAACAGTATCGTAACTATATCCCCTCTGAATAATTCTGTTTGAAGGTTTGGTTAGCTTTTGAGGTGAATGTCGACATTTTTGTGCTTGCTATAGAATATTACTATAAAAGATTGGATGTGATATATAGATATATATATATATATCATAAGAATTTTCTAGGTACATTTACAAGCATCGGACAAAGTTTCATCACGTATATTAATTAGGAATAAGTTAAAAGTCAATAATACCCCATAAAGAAAAAAAAATCGAACACCCCAAAAATACAAACAACTGAAATAAGCAATTTCAAAGTGAAAGTCTTTCAAATTACAATCTCAGAAATTATGTTTAACATGTTTAAGAGAGGGAAAGATATCAAAGGGATGATACCACAACCATAATTTGAAGAAAGACAGATACACTTTTCCCACAAAAAAAGGATGAACAGACAACAAAAACGTCCACAAATCACTACAAAAAAACTAATGGTTTTGCAACATGGACATCGATATTAAATCCCAAAAATAGTGAGGTGTTTCGAAAGGGTCAACATCTCCTGTTCAACTAACAATACCTGCCGTATTAATCCTGGTAAAAGGTCAGACCAATGCCTACTTTGCAATAACATGAATAAGGAGAAAGAACTTAGTTTTAGAATTTAATAAAATGACTGTTGATTGGTTATCGTAAAGTGGCTAAAATTGTATACATATTTGGAGCAACAAAACCTTTCCAATATATTAACAGGTAGGATATAAACACCCATAGAATTAGATCATGTTATTTATGATCCTGAAATCAATGTTACATTAGTTATGACAATTATGCATCAAATAAAAATTTGAAAATGGTCTTTCCATAAATCTTGGTTGGACTATAGCTGTTGCAGAAATTAAAAATTCAGCTATAATATGGAAATGTATTGTAAGAGTATGATTCTAACTACAAGGATATTATTGATTGATGATTGATTGATGGTTGCTTAACGTCTAATGGCAAATTATAGGCAAATTAAGAAAAAAGGGTTATTTTTCATCAGACTTTATGATACTATTAGAAAAAAAAACTAACAAGTTTAAGATATGACCATCAACTTATTTTTTCTGACTTTATCAAATTATCAATAAAGTTTATAACCATACTTTTGTAGTTCATTGGGTCTTGTGTTTTGGGATGAACATCAATTCGTTAATTTTAAAATTGAAGCCATACAAAACTGCTTCTTTTTTCATCATTGACATTCTGTACAGTTTATTCTGGGAATTGCTCATGATCGCATCTTTTTGTATAGTTTTGGCGTTGCTTTTGAGATGAAGCACGACCATCGTAAAACAAAGTAGAGCGCAATTATTTCACATGCATCAACATGTTCAGTTCCAAATACATGACTGTAGTAGATCACATCAAGTTAAAAAAAAAATAATAATGCTCACAGTTGATGAAAGAACATTTATACGTATGTTTTATAATAAATGTATACGGTAGGGATTTTGTTTTTTTTGTATATGTGATTTCTTATCACTAGTAAACTAATTATACCCCACGGAACAAAGTTCCGTCGGGTATAAAGTTTTTGACCCGTAAGTCCGTATGTCCGTCAGTCCGTCAGTCCTGTCCTTGTCATCGCAACTCCTCTGAAACCACACAACAAAATTTCATGAAACTTTATAGATAACAAGGACATACTATGTAGATGTGCATATCGACAGGAAATTATGATTCAAATTTTTTTCCAGGAGTTATGCCCTTTGAACTTAGAATTTTGGCCTTAATGTACTTCTGCAACAGTTTGTCATCTCAACTCCTCTGAATCCACACGACAGAATTGCTTGAAACGTTGAGGATAATTAGGACACCCTTTGTAATGTGCATATCGACAGGAAATTATGATTTAATTTTTTTTTCTAGAAGTTATGCCTATTTGAACATAGAATTTTGGCATAAATATTCTACTGCAACAAGGGGCCTCGGTGGCCGAGTGGTTTAAGTAGTTACTTCTGTAATCACTAGCCAGTCAACACTGAGGTTGTGAGTTCGAACCCCGCTCGTGCGGGTGCACTCGACTCCAATCTTATTTGGCTAGGATTGTCAGTTTTCCTATCGAAGGTCGGTGGTTTTCCCCGGGCACTCCGGCTTCCTCCACCAATAAAAACTGGCCGCCACGAAATAGCCCAAAAGCGGTGCTTAAAGGTGGCGTTAAACACCAAAAATCAAATCAAATCTACTGCAACAGTTTGTCATCGCAACTCCTCTGAATCTACACAACAGAATTTCATGAAACTTTGTAAATAATTAGGACATACTGTGTAGATGTGCATATCCACATGAATTTTTTATCATTCGACTTTTGTAGGAGTTATGAGTCTTTGAACGTAGGAATCTGGTGATATTTTGTTTGCCAAGTGACAATGTGGGGTCATGGGGTATGTGAGCGTGCTCTCAAAGGTTTATTAATTTTGAATTGAAACGGTCATTTTGATTTGAGCAGCTGTTAAAATGACTCAAGAAGAAATTATCAAGCAATGTTTAGTGTTTCAGTTAATTTTCAGACTTATGCCATGCTGTAAATTTAGTACTGTTCAGATAACTAGCTGGCAGTCAATTAAGATCAGTTCAGACTGTTTAGTAGTCATTATTTACCTGTATAAAACAATACCATACTGAATTGCCTTAAAAAAACCTACTGAACAGTACTTGGTTGACTGCAATCACTACTGAAAAAGAGAGGCGAATTAACAAAAAGAAAATATATTAAAAATAACTTAAAAGTCTTAACAAGACATAACATTTGTAGGTGAAGACTTTTTAGATGCTGCTAAAATCAAAATGAACAAAATTCCATTTACAAGTAATTTTGTTAACTCCACATCTTCTTTTATTAATATCTTTTTTCACTTATAACCTCGCTGAAATTTTATCGAAATTTCTTTCAAAAACGCGTATCGAATAATGACTGAATTTCGTATTCATTAGGTCGATTAATATTCCTAACCAGTTATAAAAGGCTGCAAATATGTAAATATAGGTTACAGTATATGATTAAAAAACGATCTAGGATATAATTTAATGAGAGCAATCGAAACTACAAAAATAATCGGAAGACACCGAGAGGACAACATACTGTCTTCAACAACAGGCAGGTGCCTAAAAATATGTCAGATTGTTAATCTTATTTATTAAAGTAGTGAATATATTTGATAGAAAGATATCAAAGATCTGCTATCAACACCGACACTGCTAATAACGTATAACATTAAGATATGACAAACCAATAATGACGAGATTCCATTCCTTGAACAGGCATATAAAATGGTGGGATTAAACTTGTTTTGTGAGATATCAATCCTCCCCTTAAACCCGATCAGTAAATTAACCTTTACGCAAAGTTTGTTAATACATATGTATATTTTATAAGGTGTGCAAGCAGGGTTGAGTGTTATTGGGACTACTGGGTTGGCACTGGTAACAGCACTGACTGTATTAAAAGTGGTGTGTGTACATACTGTTGTCAGGAATCACATGGCAAACCTTGCAATGCAGTGACTGAAAAACCAACAACCTTAATAAACTTAGGTCAAACTCAAAACAGAGGTATATGATATAATATGATATATTACAAAAGTTCACTTAAAAATACTTTAATAGATTTCTACTGAACACAATGTAGTTACGACAATTGGAACATATCTGTCGTCATCTGTGAACCAAATATTCCATAACGATGAACCAACAGGTGAATGCGTCCGTAGAATTTTTATTTGTTGTTTGCTATTCGATGATGGAAATTAACACGGTTTATTTAATTTATACGATTGAAAAAAATCATCGATTTCTATATTTTTATTTTTGCTCAGTTTACCGATTTATTCACCAAATGTTCAATTCTTCGATTTTTGCAGCCTACAAATGTGTTGTAACCGGTCCACAAAATGGGAATAAGGTACAAGATTGTCCTCCTTCAGAAAGATTCTGTCTCAATGATGTGGTTTATGACACAGATCCGACAACTCAGAACCTAATCACTAGGGATTTTAGAAGGTTCTGTATAAATTTTCGCTAATAAACGGTTATTTTTTCTGGAATTAAAAACAAAATCAAGCACCTTACGAAAGAAATAATGCATGCATTGTCAAAAACACCCTGTCATCAATACAAAATAATAAAACAACATCATTTTGGTAAAGGTCGAACTTCCTCTCAAACAAAGGAAACAGTATATGCGTTAAACGTGTCAGTAGAATGACTATAATTGTGCCCCCAAAATCTATAATCAGCTTTGAAGGAATGGGTTGGATCCTTACGTTTCTTTATAAATTCTCAACGGAACATTATAGAAATGTATGATACAAATCATGTGAATGTCGAATCACTGACCTAACGATTTGGTATATGGGTTTCTTAACTAGATATATAGGAAAGACAATGTCAAAAATATGTTAATAATTTAATTGTAAAATGAAAATAGATCAACGCCACAACAAAGTAAACCTATATTCAATACAGAAAGCACAAGATCCATCTGCAAAGCAAATGAAAAAAAAAAGATATTAAAATGTATGTGTATAGCAGAAATAGTGTACAAGCCAATGAGAAAGCAACCCACAGACACAAAAAAAAAAAACCCCGAAAAGATACATGTATCTGCTTGCTGCATTTGCTGGTTGAATATTTTCCGAGTAATTTAAATGTACAGGAGTCTACGAACTTAGATGTATCACGATAAACAATTATTTTATGGATAAGGCGAAGTAACAAACATTTTTTTCAGATGTGCATCAAAAGAGCAGTGTAAAGGAAAATGGTTACAGTCGAGAAGAACCAACGCCTGCTTGACGGGAAATATGACCGGTATTGAAGCTTCTAAGACGGGAAATAAGATTCTTTGTCATTATTGCTGTGAATCTAATACAATGACCCCATGTAATCTACATCCTAAACCTGACCAAATTAACTTATTCATACAGCCAACAACACTTCCTGTAGTTTCAAGTACAGGTACGTATACCCCGTTTTTTATATTGGATTCCATTAAAGGAAAAACAAAGGGTTTCTGCATTTTTTGTGTTAGAAAATCTCACATTAGTGACAAGAATGGATTGTTTTTCACTTAGAATTAGGTCAACCGGTGCAAAACTGAGGTTATTCGTATCAATTATTTATAAAATATGTGGTTTTTTCTAGCCTTAACATTTGAAATATGGTGTTTTCCCTAATTTTTATATCATATGAAAACCAATCATCCATTTTGAAGTTCTTCTCATCAACGACACATAGAAAACAATGGATTAATCTATTAAAATAAAGTCACTATTGATATGTTTTTATGATAATGCTACATATATGTTATATTAATTCAAATTTACTGTAAATGAAATTAAGATGAGTCTTTGTTAACAATTATTGAGAAAAAACACACATATGTTGCACCTTCGTAAGGAAAAACCATTATGTCGCACGATTTCCTTAACAAAGCATTATATTACGTGAAAATGTAATTTTCATTCCTATTGTCTTTAACTAACAAACACTGAATTTATTTGTACCAATGTACGTGATTTCCCATTCAATGCAGACCTTGTTACTTCGCTAAATCCTCTCTCATCGTTATTATAAAATATTAACCCCAACGTGTTAATCTTTTGGTGTTGTTTACAACTGTTCTTTCATGTTTATCCAAAATAACGAAACAACATGTAAGATACTAGTAACCAGAACACGTGCACCCGTTGCGCTGCACAACGTTCTTCTTTATTCTTAATCCAAACAATTTTCAATACGCGCCACATTAAATATTTTGGACAGAAAATACAAATCAATGGAAAAGTTAAGATTCATAATCTTTTATTTGAAAATAAATTAAAATAAATGTGGGAATATGTAATAATATAGCATTCTAAGAATAAAATAAGTAGAAACGCCATCTAGAGGTTAGCGTACGGTTTTCAACAGTAGGCAACGTCAGTATCATATGTAACAGAAGCCGGATAAGCATACACACAAACAAAAAATATTATGTTTAATTACTTAAAGGAAAAAGCATTCAAACTGAAAATCATTATCAAAGAATTCCTATATTATTCACGTCATTCCCTTCCTTATGTTAATTGTCCTAAATGGAGGCAATGCAAATTAAAATGCAGACGGTAAGATCAAATGATTATACACCAATCATTCAGTACAGTAATTGTATCCTTTTCTTTTTGTTTCAGTCGTTTGTCAAGATAAACCCAACGTAGATTGCTTAATACTTAATTCAACAAACATTTGTGCCAACCCTATTTCACATCAATATTGTGCTGCCTTTTGTGGACACTGTACAAATGTTATCCAGTCTGGATAGGGTCTGACATTTAGCTAATAAATAGGGTCAACTTGAATTTGTTTTATTTTATTAAGGATCTATATTGGAGTATAATATAGATAACACAAATGTTGATACTACATAGTATACATAGTATTATCTACAGTGCATTCATTTACAATAATAGTAGCACTATATTATTCAAATAAATGCAGGTCGTTGAAAATTGCTTCCTCCCGTTTATGATTTAATACGAAGTTTTTGATATTTATGTGAATAGCCAAACCAAGCTTAAATTATTTTTTTAATCTCTCGTTTTCTTTTGTTTTGTGCTATCGCTATCTCGGAATACTTTTGCGGACAAAAAATGCGTTTAAAGGGCAACATGTGTAACTTATTTCATTTGAGCATGTAAGAACGGATTTTACCTATTCTTTACTTGTCAAAAGATTATTAGCTGAGTTGTCAGTAATCTCTAAAAAACGGGTTTCTAGGAAACCTCTTGTCTGGTTAACAATTCATTTGTTTATCATTTAACACTTCTTTTTGAATACACGTTTATTATGAAAATGGTCTTTCTCAGATTGCAAAGTGAGCACACTGTAAGCATTGGCTGGGCCAGCGCTCAAGATGCCAATAAATAAAATTAAGGAGGAGGGATAGTTGAGTTACATTTGTTTGACATGGGATGGGCAAATGCACAACATGTCACGCATAGAGAGGCATTTCGAAGTTACACGTTGCTCTTTGAATTATGCTTCGAACTCTTGTCAATGATTTTTCAAGTCTCGCTTTGTCATTAAATGCACATTATGTGAGGTTTTTAATTTATACTTTATGTTTCTTATGATGCCGTCGTATACCCAAGTGGCTCGTAATTTTCCCCTGAACTATTATTCATAGAACTGGGTTAAAGTTATTTGAAGTCACAGTACTACATCTACACTCTGTCGTTTTATGCGTTTGTATTGTGTTGTATTTTGTTTTTGAGGATGTAACTCGTTACACTATGTACAGTACTGTTTGATATTTGAACGTAATGAATATTTTGTCATACTAGTACATATTAATTTGATTGCTTCTTATTGTGACATCAAACAGATTATCTTAATTAAAATAACTTCATCGGTTCATATACCCTATTAAATCCTCATGTGTCCGAATCAAATTGCTGGACCCACTAGTATTAGGAACGCACAAAGTCTGAAAGCTGGATGCACATGTACCGAGCCACGTGAAGAGTCATACAAACAAAAGGAATACAAAAGTACAAGTGTGACGTAATTATTAAAGCAACAACAATAGCGAAAATAAAATAATAATGCCAGAAATAAATATTAAATCTAAAAAAAAAAAAAAAATAATAATTGTTTGATTAATCTTAACTGTATTGTAATATTTTAATGTTTTGTAAATATTGACCCCTAGTTAGTTTGGCTTTATAACTGTTTATTTGTGTACAGAGAGAAAATTAATGATGCAAGGCTAATTTGACAAATGGCTAGTTTTATTATCTGCAGTTACAGTTGAACTGTCAGATGTAATTAAGACAAGTAACGATGTCTTGGGGTGTAGGGTAATAGAATTAGTTATGCCTATTTGTTTTGTCTAAGAGTGAAAGTAATTAAACTTTCTGATAAAGGTCAGTTGGTCAAGATACTGGCAGATTGTGTATCAGCTGTGATACTGAAAGGATGTATATTCCTTAAGTCTTGAATCAGTAAAGATTCTGGAGGACTTGTTTTTATACGACCGCAAAAATTTTGCAAAATTTTGCGGTCGTCGTCGTCGTTGTAGTCGTCGTCATCGTCGGCCGAAGACACATTGGTTTTCGCAATCTAACTTTAGTTTAAGTGAATGGATCTCTATGAAATTTTACCAAAAGGTTTAATACCACAAAAGGAAGGTTGGGATTGATTTTGGGGGTTATGGTACCAACAGTTATGGAATTAGGGGCCAAAAAGGGGCCAAAAATAAGCATTTTTGTAACTTCCAGACATAACTTGTGTGTTAGTGTATGGATCTCTCTGACATTGTACCAAAAGGTTCAATATCACACAGGGAATGCTGGGATTGATTTTGGGGGTAATTGCTTCAAACTATTAGGAATTAGGGGCCTAAAAAGGGGCAAAAAACAAGCATTTTTCTAGTTTCATGACAATAACTTGTGTGTAAGTGTATGGATCTTTCTGAAATTGTACTACAAGGTTCTATATCACAAAGGGAAAGCTGGAATTGAGTTTGGGGGTAAATGCTCAAAACGTTTAGGAATAAGGGGCCAAAAAGGGGCCAAAAATAAGCATTTTTCTAGTTTCATGACAATAACTTGTGTTCAAGTGTATGGATCTCTCTGAAATTGTACTGCAAGGTACCATACCACAAAGGGAAGGCGTGGATTGATTTTGGGGGTAATTGCTTGAAAATTTAAGGAATTAGGGGCAAAAAAAGGGGCAAAAAACAAATTTTTCTAGTTTCAGGACAATAACTTGTGTGTAAGTGTATGCATCTTTATGAAATTGTACTACAAGGTTCCATATCACAAAGGGAAAGCTGGGTTTGAGTTTGGGGGTAATTGCCCTAAACGTTTAGGAATTTGGGGCAAAAAAGGGGCAAAAAAACAAGCATTTTTCTAGTTTCCAGACAATAACTTGTGTTCAAGTGTATGGATCTCTCGGAAATTGTACTGCAAGTACCATACCACAAAGGGAATTGAGTTTGGGGGTGATGAATCATAAGGGGGATCAAAAAATTGGGGGGGGGATTTTTTTTTTTTTTAAATTTTCCATTTTAAATTGGTCATTTCTGATTTATATATAAAAGCAAAAAATAATGATAAGGTTTGAAAAGGTAAATTAAAAATTCTTAAGTTCTTAGACCACATTCATTCTGTGTCAGAAACCTGTGCTGTGTCAAATATTTAATCACAATCCAAATTCAGTGCTGTATCAAGCTTGAATGTTGTGTCCATACTTGCCCCAACTGTTCAGGGTTCGACCTCTGCGGTCGTATCAAGCTGCGCCCAGCGGAGCATTTTATTTAAGTTTATCATGTTTATATGTTTAAACTTTGTAGCTAACTTTGTCAATAAGTCGGAAGTAATGTACATTTGTTAATAAACTTATATATATAAACCGTATTATTTAGTTACTGGGAATTTACCACAGGATATATTGTCGTGACATAGATGGCTATGTCCGTCCGTCTTTTTCGTTGTCGTTCCTCCCCTCGGTCACGTTACAGTATTAAGGATGAATCAGGCGTTTTACAGATAACGTATCAAATCTTGAATATCATTTTGAAATGAGATTCTAAATTTCTTTTGATAACATTTGTTATTTTGTTTTAATGATGCAGTATCTTAAAGTATCGCAAAAAAAAAAACCCAGGTTGACAATTTTAAAAAAGGACATTATGTATGTAAAATATGAATGCAAGTTATTTCGGCGTCAATTTTAATGTTCTTTTCACGATAATTCATTTTACATCAAGAATTGATTTGTTTATCGGTTCGTCAGCAACACCTTTGAAAACCCGCCTAAATGTTTATAAACCTGAATAAATATAATATATGAACAGGCGTACACAGTTATATTGAGTAAGAAACATGTTAACCAAAACAATATCATCTTTGTTCCGTCTCGGATCCATGCCTGAGGCGTCCGTTTTCCATTCTTCACAAAAGGCCAACACTGTTTAGGGTTCTGCTTTGCTGCAGGATTGATGAATTTTGGATGTATTGCTGTAAGCACGTCTGATCTTACGATGACATATATACTGCTTTAAGTTGTTTACATCTCTGAGTTTCTCTCGCACTTTTTGTATAGTTTGCCTTTTTAAATGTGCGGTCTTTACGCCGTGCAAGTCTGCGTGTTTCATTTTTCATCCATGGATTGGTGTATCGCAATCGAGTATGTTTGTGTTGGATATGCGTGTCCGCAATGGTAAAAACTTTGTCTCGGAAAGTAGTCAAACATGATCAGTCTATAGTATGAAATGGTAGTGATACAAACTCAGATATTTGTGCCTTGACATTTTTTTTCAGAGTTGGAAGGAGATTGAAATCACCCACAATCCCAATTCACGCTAAATGTGATCTCATCTAATTTATCAATTATTAAAATTACCATAATCCCGTCTTTATTTCGTTGATTATAACATAATCATCGAATAAATAAACTCATAGATACCAGGATTCAAATTTTGTACGCCAGACGCGCGTTTCGTCTCCATAAGACTTATCAGTGACGCTCGAATAAAAAAAATGAAGAAGGCCAAATAAAGTACGAAGTTAAAGAGCATTGAGGATCCAAAATTCCGAAAGTTTTTTATTTTCAAATACAGCTAATGAAATCTATCCTTGGGGTAGAAGATCCTAAGTATTTCGAAAAATTCAAAGTTTTATAATAAGGACATAAAAGACATTAAGAACATAAAAGATGTAAAAAAGATAAAAAAACGATATAAAGTTAAAAATGAAAAATAGATATGAAGATTTAATTGAAACTAAATTTGAAAACATTGATATATAAAAAACTTAAAAAAGATTGCAAACTAGAATCTTATCTTAATATATCTAATTTTCAGATAAGGAGATTGATCACTAAATTTAGACTAAGTGATCACTCCCTCTTAATTGAAAAGGGAAGATATTTTAAAATCCCTAGAGAGGAACGACTTTGTCATAAACGTAAAATACTAGACGATGAGAAACATTTTTTACTCTATTGTGATTATAATAAAACACTAAGAAATGCCTTTTTTGAACACATATGTACTGAAAATAATAACTTTAACAATTTAAATAAAGAAGAAAAAAATCATTATTTACTAAATCCATCAACGCCTTTACAAACAAATAAGTTAGGATCCTTCTTGAAAAAGTCATTAGAACTGAGGGCAGGGGACTCTTAAAAGCTTGTTTGTTTTTATAAATTTTGATGCTGCTTTTTATTGTGTATGTTTGATATGTATGTATATATGTTTATTGTGTTAATACATGTTGGTCACAAACTGTAAAGTTTATACGACAATAAAAAAAAATTAATCAG